CAAAACTGACATAGTTACAACACTTCCCTCCCCCATGAAGTGACAAAATCAAAACGAATGTGATGAGCAATTTCATTATGTAAACACACTCTGCTTTTATAATTTTACATACTGATCAGTCCTAACAATCTACACTTGATTTTGTTATCTTTACCAATTGACTAACTTCACGACGAAAAATGACCTAATACTGACGAACGATGATCAAGTTAGTAAACTTTGCTTTGATATCATAACATATATACCATTACCTTTGATATTTAGTTTTAGTGATTTTCATTGTTATTATGACTTTCAATATCTCCTTTTACCTTGACCTAAGTAGTCAATTTTGTCACCTGTTAACTCTTTGTTGTCATATTTGGAGCTCCATTTATTCACTACGATTATTCTGGGTAGTCGGTTTTGAAAAAAAGACTTTTGTCATTCGATGGAATCACTGAAAGCTTATCAAGATAGCCCGTTCTTGTTCAGTGGGACAATTCCAGAACCTTTATCCCCGAGTTTTGTGATCAAGCAGTCGCAAGCTCTACCTTAATTCTTACAGCTGGTTTCGATGTTTATTCGACAAAACGCTGTGGTAGTTAAAATCTTTAGTAATGTTATCAGGATAGAAATTTAAGAAAGTTATTTTTCCTGTGAACTAATATGTATATTCACGTGTTGGCTTGTAGGAATTTGATTGGTTACAGGATTTTATCATGAGTTGTGATGAAAACACTACATTGGCCAAAGTGGACGCCCCTCCCCTTCGTATTCGTATCCACAAACACAAGCTAGCCGTCAAAAGACATGACATCCACTCCCTCATATCACCTCACTGCATACAGACAACCACGGATATCAATTCGACTGGGACAATGTTCAAATATTAGACAGAGGAAACAACAAGAATGCTAGAGAATTTTTAGAAGCCTGTCTACTATTCCAGTGAATCATCAATCAATAGACACATCGAGATAGATAAAATTTAATACCAATCCACAAGAAAGAAACCTCACACACAAAGGGTCAAAGTTCAAGCCAAAGAAACAATCACTTCCAATACAAGTAACGTAGAAGGTATGAAAACACACAAAATCAACCAAACACGTTGAAGATCACCCACCAGGCGAGATGATTGATAAACCTGTGGAGAAATCTAAAAGGTCACTTCAATTCAAACTGAAGTATGAGCTGAAGATTTTACTTAGTAGAGGGGGCGATGAAAGCTTCGCAAATTAACTATCCAGCTCGGAGGACACAACCACATGAAAATAAGTCATCTATGTTACAACACACCGTCGACCTCACTGACGCTGTCCGCGCTCGATCGACTATCTGAAATTGATAAGAATATCTCAAGATACTTCCTCAGTCTTCATGGATTATCCACCGACAGGCAAGCACTATTCAAACAGTGCATTGATAAGGTTGCCACGAAGAGGACTGATAATATTATTAACTAGTTAAATAAAAGATTCTGAAATTGTTCTATTGAAAAAGAACGGGCTATCTTGATAAACTACTTCTAATCTACTTACATTGAATGACAAAAACGTTTATTTTATAGAAAAATACAGGCTTAGACATTTAGAAAGCCAAAGGACTGAGCTAAGAAGTATTTACTTTTCAACTAGATTTTCATCTCTGACTGTACTCTAAGACATTATCTTATTGCGCTTTTATTACAATATGCAACAAGACATTACGATATGGTCACGCTGTGTCGTGAATCGGCAGAAGTTAGAATTCATTGGCAGCTGGATCAGGTCTACGACCTCGTCTTGTAACCAGAAGGTCCTGGGTTGGAATCCCAGAGGTGGGTGCATACTGGTGAAGAGTTCCAAACTAGGACGAAACAGCTATCAAGTTCTCCAAGTTGGTTTTCAATGGTTATCAATCTGATATCACCTCATGATGAAATCCTCCATCCAGTCAAAATTAATACACACATAATTACAGGGTGGAAATGATTACAAACAAGCGGATTCCATAATGCATAATTTTGCAAAATGAAGAGTAATTAAGGAATAAGCGAGTGCTCAAATCAGTGACGTAACAGAATATCAAACAAAAATAAAACTACTCGGACAGTGGCAACAGTAGCGTCGGTGGCACAGCGATTAGGACTCTCACTGATCATGCACATGGTCCGGAGTTCGATCCTCTGCTGAAGCACACCTGATATCTATGGTCGGTCAGCAAAAGTTTGGCTACCGATATCCATGCTGAGAATTCCATACCTGTACCAAAAATACGGTGTGGAATCAAGTTGTAATAAAAAACATATAATTCAACATGAAATAGTTATAATTATAATAATAAATTATTTTGGACAATTATATTTTTCAAAAGCTTAGGGAAAGGGGAATGAAGTAGTCCGGTTTAAACATTCATGTAACGATGGCCATGGTAAGGACAGTGGCTGTACAAATTTCTTCTGAACACACAGCATTGTGTGTTTTTTGTGTGTCTTTGAAAAGTCATACATGTTTGACGAACTCGACCCTTGGAGTTTCAGATCATTGTATACATTGTTGTTAATCAATTTCCTCTTAAGAAGATCTCTCGCTACGTTTTATGATACGCTTTTCCACTGCACCTGTCTTGTCTTTCTGATAGTCGTCGACTTCAAGCCTCAACGGGTCATTTAATACCGTTTTCATCTTTCCAATGCAGTCATCCTTCTTCATCAGCACCAATCTTGAACCTTTGTCAGGTCACAATATGACGATTTGGTCATTATTTTTGAGAGCTTCAAAATTTCAATATAGAAAAAATTCCCATTCAGACATTTAGAAAACATAAAGATTGAGCGAAGATGTATTTACTTTTCAATTAGATCCTCATCTCATTCCGGGTCTACTCTAATATACACGTATGGCATTTTTATTATTACAATACACAACAATTTACCAATCATGTAAGTGGCACTGATATGTTTGTCAACAATAATTAATCAGTCAGTGTCAACATGTCAAGCTGTGGGGTGATAATTAACGAAGAAAATAAATACACACAATTAAAAGGTAGAAATGGTTAGAATAAATTAATTTCACAAGGATAACACGTAATTAAAGATGAAGTAGTCAGAAAAAATAAATAAAATTATTTAGACAATTATAATTTTTATAATTTTTAAGGTTTAGGGAGAGGGGAGCGAAGTAGTACGGTTTAAACATTCATGTAACGAAGACCAAGGCAAGAAAAGTGGCTGCACAAATTTCTTATGAACACAAAAGTTTGGCTTCTTCGGGTGGATTCCCATTGCTTCACCTGTAGGTATATGGAAGACGAACTCTTAGAGCAAACTTAAGATTAGTAGGAATGCGATATAAGTAATTTTATTTGCTGTATTAACGTCAACCTTATGCTCACTATCTACAAGGGGTTCTACAATAGAGATACGAATAGATTTGTTTGTCTCTTGCTTAACCATGTTGGATGATGTTCGGAAATACGATGTTGAAACTGCCTAATTGTACGCCCAGTGTAGCTGGCTCCGCAACTGTAGTCAAACTAGTAGATACACATAGAAGAGGCAAATTTAGATAGTTTATCCTTATTTCTCAACGTAGATTATGGGGTGGTTGTGAAGAGACAACGTACCTCTGCTGCACAATAAGCTCATTTAACCGCATTCTTTAGGCGCTGTGTTATTATTTCGCTGATATTGTCAAAGAGGAACTGCAGTTTTATGACTAGTGGTTTTTCCGCAACTGCTGCTATAGTGACTCTCCTAGGGGATGAATTCATATTTTTGTCTCAATGTACTTATATGGATAACCATATTTGCTAAGTAATTCTCTAATAATCTTAAGCTCCTCATTGAGGCGCTCGTCTGAACAGATTAACCTAGCCCTATGAACCAGATACTTTACCAGGTTACGTTTATATTTCAAAGGTACAAAACTCAAAATTGAGTGTGCTGACCTGTTGCTGCAGGTTTCCTATACACACTCCTTCTTAATGTGCCATCACCTTTCCTTGCCAGAAGACTTTTAAGAATGAGATACTGTCATTACTTTCTTTCTCTTTGGTAAATTTCACCGTTGAATGCACATCACTGAAATTGTCGAGGATGTTCAATGCTCCATCCTCGTTGTTCTCAACTAGAAATATATTATCCGTATATTGACAGTAGAAATCCAAGTTATTAATTACTCCTTTCACATAAAGAGGTCCATTCTCTAACTTAGGGAGGAAAAATTCAGCTAGGATTGGATTTATGGGGTAGCTACACCCATCAGTTTGTCTATAGTATTCGCCGTTGAATTGGAAATAAACATTCATTGTACGTGCATCTTAAAATAAGTTCCTTCAAGGAGAATATAGAAATGCTGGTGTCTATATTTCACTCAGTAATCTAATCAATATATAATCCACTATTCAGATTTCTTTCCAATGAACGTGTCATCCACATATCTCCACCATAATCTAGGAGCAGGATAAAACGTTCTAAGAGCCTTATTTTTCTAACTGTCAATAAATATGTCTGCTACTATAACTGGGGAACATTGCTGACCCCACTGCCACTTCATTCGTTTAATCATATAGTTTATTTTGAAATTTGAATATACTGGAGCTGTGACAACAGCTGAACAACTGATATTATTTCATCAACCAAACGACAGCTTAGTCCTACTTTTGAGTTTAGGATCAATGTTCAATTCATTCCTAACTGCCTCCAGAGTTGTATTCATGAAAATATCGGGTTTTTTTGAAAATCAATTTGTGTAAAATTAATTTTTAAAAAGAAAAAAACAATCTTTTAATTTTCTCTGAGAAAAAATTGTTTTTTCAAAGTTATTCATGAACTTCGAACCTTTACGCGCGTGCCTGTGCACAGGTGTGTGTGTGTGTGTGCGTGAACTTATAAAAAATAATTGATTCTCTTATCGTTCGTTATATATAGTGACGGACGCATCTGATTGGTAGATTTGCATTTCTCCTCTTCTGATTGGTAGCTTACTGACGAAGATTATAATTTCTCCCAGTTTGCTAATTTTTTCCCAGTCGTTTTGATCCCAAATTGATCTTAGATGAATTTATTGATATAGAAATGATGATGATGATGACAATGACGGTGATGTGATTTGTATGTTGATGGTAACATACTTTCTGGAATAAGGCGCGCTTTTCATCTATTTCAAAATTTAAACAAATGACCTATAGTCACTGGTGTATTTTACAATCTATCCTACTACAATCATTGGAAGTCACTAATTTTGTAAATTGAAAGAAGTTTTGTGGATTAAATCTCACACATAGTCTTCCAGCTTCAATTTCTTATCATAGTGATGTTGAGAAGATAGATATTGGACTATTTCTCGGCTAAATCCGATCACTCCTATATCATAGCAAAAAAGGTAAAATTTATTGCTGTAAATCATGGAAGATATAAAACCTACTGTGAATATTCTCCCTCCTGATAAACTGGATGTTGTTGACCAGTCAAAGATGATTACGAGGACAACACATCCCCTGTCTACTGGAATCACTACACTTTCTTTGACAAATGAAACAATTCATCAAGAATTATCCCCACCAATTCTAATGGTGACAAGTCCAACTGAAAATAAAACCTATACAATGGATTTGCCATGTCCACCGCTTACATACAACCCTCAGAATAATAATAACTGCAGTAATTTGAGGGCAAGTTGTAGTGGGGTTGGTAAAATGAATCAGCTGACTGTAAATACTGTAGATTCAAGAGGTTTGACCTCTTTATCAAATAAATTAAGACGTTATAGTGATCAAGGTGGAAGTAGACCGTTGACAAAAAATGATCCGGATTATTCCACTCAATATAAACGTCAAAGTTTATTCAATATTAATTCTGAGTCGAATGTTCATGATTATTATAATAAGAGTAGTCTTTATCCTCCGACAAGAACAAAGAACACGTCATCGTCTAATGTTGATCTGTTAGCTGAAGCGATATTACAAATGAGCAGTACTCTGAAAAGTAAGTCATTCTTTTTATTTACTGTGTGTGTGTGTGTGTGTTAAAACACCAACTTGATATATTACAGGCATCATGAAATACGCCACATAAAATTTTATGATTATTTGACAAGTCTTAGATACTACCCCGAAGAGCATATCAAAGTATTGTCTGTCTATTTTCGACATAGAACTTTGCACCGATATGCAGCATTTCAAGTCATCACACTCCATGTAGCACATAAAGCAAGAGAAGAAAGTAGAAGAAATGCATAATAGAGACAGTAAACAGAGGTGTGAGACAAAGAAATAGTAATAACGAAGAACAATATAGTTTCATTAGAAATCATAAGTCACAGGGATTGGATGCATCTGTGACAGCTACTGAGAACGATTTTGAGCCATATCACCGATTGTTCCCAGCCTTCATTGGTTTTTACTGTCCCGAGGACCCCAACCAGTCAGGAAATCCACACCTTCCTACGTGACTGGCTTAAACTAACTGTTGTGGATTTCATTGACTGGTGGAGCCATGTTTTGGTTTGACCGCCGCTAGCTCTTTCTAACCCTAGATTAGCTGACATTGCCCGCCGGTCAAGGAAGGCGATAACTAGGAATGCATACGTAACACATGTCCTAACCATCTCACTTGATGTAATTTCGCAGCCTCGTCGATTGATTTCCCCTCCTTACCTAGAACTCGACGCCTAACCTCAATATTGCTCACCTTATTATACTACGCTCGCCCTTTGGTCGACTGTTGGCCAGTCGGATATCACGTCTACCCCAGAGACCGCGTAAACTGGCATATGCGAAACTAGCCCTTTGTATCCGTGTTAAGATTTCATCAGCGAATAACCTGTCTGGGCTGACGCAACTTCTCAAATAAGTGAAGTGGTCAACGTGCTCTGCCATTTTACTCCCTATTTCTAAACTAGGAGTCAGTGTAGTCCAATTATGTAACATCATCTTACATTTGACCAATGGAGCGAATCGCATGCCAAATATTCGTAGATTGCACCTCAAAGTTTTCAGAAGACTCTATATTTTGTCAGCGTCCTAGCCTAGATAGACTATATCGTTTGCATATTCTAAGTCAACGAGATTATTCCCTGGTAGCAAGTCAATCTCTGAGTCTCTGAAGTGAGTTAGGGTTAAGTTGATCAGTGCATCTATGATGAAATTGAATAGAAATGGGGATAATGGGCATCCCTGACGGACATCATTTCAGATGACAACTCGCCATAAACCCTCAACTGGCTGTTTGAGTTCGAGTAGAGTGCCTTGATCAGTGTAATGTATTCTCTCGGCATCCCCTTTACTGCCAAGCATCGCCAGAGTACCTCCTGGTCGATAGGATCGAATGCCGCATTTAGGTCAAGAAATATAATAATATAATGCATTTTAAGAGGCCAACACCCAACCTCCTTCCAAGCCTTTGACTTGATTGGTAATCCACAGGTCAGTGAAACAGTGAACCAAAACAGGTTTATACTATGTCATTCAATCCCTTCGGATTATGAAGTTCAAATACACCACCACAGGTTTGAAATTATAGATTTCCCACCTCTGCTAGGTAGACCAACGTGTCCATCAGTCCTATTTTTTTACTTTGTAATGACAACTCAGCATTGGGAAGTTACTGAAAAGAATTTGCCCGTCAGAGGCTTTAAAAGAGTGGATATATGAATGAGTTTAGAGCGAAAGAACTAAGTCTACTCACTCTTAGCCATACAGCATTGTTTATGGTGGTCTAAAAATCAAAAGGAAAGGGGGTATTCCGAGTCTGTGCTTAATTTTCGCTGGTTGACTTAATTGGGTCTCGAGCTTCTGAAGTTATCCTAGCGGAAGTGTTGTTCTTGCTGGATGAATTTTCTAGCCCCTACACCTAATCTACTTTCTTCTTCTCCTCAGCTAACAAAATAACCTATTGCCTAGTTAGTCAGTCGTGGTTTTAGTGTGCATCGCCAAGGAGTCGAACTACAACTCAGGCGTGGTTGGCGAACATCCCATCTATTAAGCATCGTTGCAGGAAATCCATAGCCTATTAAAACTGTCACTTATATATGCTAGGAATGAATTCAGCTTTATTCCAGTGGATAGAAATTTAACTTGTTTGTCACTAAACTATTTCTTCTTTGTCCTTTTTACACTGTAACGAAGACGCACATTGTAATGGAGTCCCCAAACATGAACTGATGTTGAAATAATAGAGAAGATTTGTAGCTCGGGTGGATGATTTGCAATTCATAGTGTTCTCTGAGCTGATCAGTTTAGTTGCGGAGCTTTTGTCGTCCTTCTGGTCAACATCTTCAGGGCAATTTTTAGCATAAAGTTAAATGGTTTAAAGTTTTCATGGGGAATAAGATTGCGTCTCCCAGTATTGATCATTTTCTATTGACTTGGATTTTAAACTTTCTGGTCACTAGATTTGCTTTTTATCAGTTGGTATATTTAGTCTATAATAACGTGTTTGTTAATTGTGTATTCGTTTGAGTACCAGGCTTGGCTTCTAGGAATTCCCTGACTGCACTTTCGGTGGTGTTTCCTCTGTCTAAGATTTCGACATTATCCCAAACATCAAACTGATGTCCATTATTGTTTTTATTAATTGATATGAAACAGAAATATATATCGTGTTTTTTCAAGGCTGATTTGTGTTCCTGGATTCTAATTCGAAGGGGACGCCCACTTCGACCACCGATGTAATGCCTGTTACAGTTCATACATGGAATTTATTTTGTAAATGGTATTCATCTCCTTTTTTCTCCTTTTTCTGTTGGATGGGTCTTTCAGTTTGCATAATATCGAATTAAGCGATTTGACTGGCTGGCTTGTGTGCTATATCTATATGAAACGGTTTGAGTATTCTAGCTGTTATTTTAGAGATATTTCTCATGTATGGTAGGAGGAATTTTCTTGTAGTGTTTGATGATGGTTCCTTGTTGTTGTTGTGATTCAATTTTAAACACTTTTTGATGAAATTGTGTGGACAACCATTCTTTTTGAAGATTGTTTGTAGTATTTTTCTTCCATTCTTTTCAACTCTGGAGTATTACAGTGTGTGTGAATTCTTTTAAACAATGTCTGCCAAATAAGGCGTCCCCTTCGAATGCGAATCCAGGAACACAAATCAGCCTTGAAAAGACATGATATATATTCCTGTTTCATATCAATTCATATAAACAATTATGGACATCAGTTTGATGTTTGGGATAATGTCGAAATCTTAGACAGAGGAAACACCACCGAAAGTGCAGTCAAGGAATTCCTAGAAGCCAAGCCTGGTACTCAAACGAATACACAAATAACAAACACGTTAATATAGACTAAATATACCAAATAATAAAATGTAAATCTAGTGACCAGAAAGTTTAAAATTCAAGTCAATAGAAAATGATTACTACGTATGTAAAGATGGTCACCGGGAGATGCAATTATATCACTCATGAAAAAAATGTGAATCATTTTACTTTATGCTAAAAATTGTGCTGAAGGGGGGGGACAACGAAAGCTCCGCAACTAAACCAACCAGCTCAGAGAACACTATTAATTGGATGAAGTGATGTGTTGACTAGTGCTTCTTGGTTTTAAACAAATCGATGCGGTACTTCCATTCTGAGGGGAAAAAGATTATTTTAAATCACAAAATAATAAGTAGATGTAATTTATCTGACAGGCGTAAGTTGATTACTGACACAAGATCTTTAAAATAACCTGATTGTGCATCAAAATAGTTTTGATATACGTTAAACATTTATACATTAATTATCTATTTATGAATTTGAATAAAGCAAGAACAACAGTTTGCCTGTGCAGAAAAAAAAGCTAGTCCCATCAACGCTTATTTCGTTGACTTCTCATCACCTGTTTACAGCTTATGCATATTAGGCTTATGTCAACGAAACGACTTCAATGTACTCAGAGATTTTGAGTTTAGACAAAACAAAGTTTATGTATGCATAAAATGGTAATAATAATAATAATAGTAATGATCGCTTTATTCTAAACAATAACAGCCATTAGACAGAAGTGAATTTTCCACGTTAAGTAATCGAATGAGGGAGAGATATTAAAGAGATGTCCAGGCACCAAGATGGGCAAGGAAAGACTGACGATAACCGCTTCTTTCTGAACACACATATGTGACTTTGGTGGAGGTTGCTTTGGCTAACTTACGGTGAAATAAGCTGTTTTGTCTATTGATAATTTTACGTATATCCAACCTCTTAAATATGCTCATGTCCCTTATGAGATTTTAACCCACGTCACCTAGTACAGCCTGCAGTCAGAGACGTTACCACTGAGCTATTTAGGCTCACGATCGACCTCCTGTACTATTGTCCAATCCAAATACCCAATACAGTTCTACAGGAGGTCAATCGCTAGCCAGCATGGCTCAGTGGTAACTTTGTCTGAGTGCAGGCTGCACTAAATGATGCGGGCTCGAAGCTTGGAAGGACATGAGTTTCTACAAGTTTGAAGATATACCTTGCTGACTGGTGAGTGCTAACTAGCACGAAACCTAGATTCAAGGCTTCCTATGGCTGATAGCCTCCAAAATACCTAATATCATTAAAGGATATTGTTTTCGAAAAACAATTCGTCATTAGATCCTACATTTATGTCACTCTATTAAACAGAGAAATAGTGTTATACATAACATCAGTGTTTTAAATCACATCGACTCAATAATGTCAAGACTGTGATTTCGCTCAGCGGTCTTTTTCAGCGTATGCCCGATCTATATCCACTTACTGTGGAATATTTGTTACTCCATTATGGATAAGATTTTATTTTGATAAAGTGTCACGTAGTGTTATGCAGTAATATTAACTGATGAACACTTTTCGAGCACAATTCGTTGCCACTCATAATCATATCAAGTTACTCACACAACTTTCCCCCTCATTTATATACATGTGTGGGAATTGATGAATAGACATTTGAATGAAAATCAATATGAGATAATGTACAGTCAGATATAATAGTACGAGTGTTACTGATCGATTACAACCAGAA